ACTGCAGTATATAGAGTTAAAAGAGGTATTGATAGTAATGAATTGTCAAGCAAGAGGTAAAGGAATAGGAACAGGAGGTGTTAGAGAAGGTCTGGTGATAGTGATATTTGACACATATTGTTTGATAAGATAGTTTTCTCATTTGAGCTATTCAGATGCTGAGATTAATGAATTGTGAAACCAATTGGGTGGCTTATATATATTTAGATAAGCTCCAATTAATCCTGAGTATAACTGAAGAGTTCTATAATTATAAGACAGACTGATAGTTCTAATAAGATACTGATAGTTAGTATAGTAGTTTGTACTTATAGCTCTGTCTAAAGAACAATTCATAAAAATAGAAGAAAGATATTTTTTATGAAGCATGGAAATATCTTGAATTTGGGAAAAGATTTGAGATAGTATTGATATATATCATCAAGTTTTCTTATTTTTGCACTCACTACAAATAGCAACTTGAATAATATTTCTATTGTTTATTCAAATATACACAGGAATCAAAAAGGCACAAGTTAAGGGATATGAAATATCATTATTATAAGGTATCTATTGAGTTAAAGATGCCATCATAAGTATTGAGCAGTAGGCACAAGGAGTATTAGGGTCATCGATCAAAATTTTGGTTTGAAATTGATGTACAAGTCGTTTAAGGGCAAGAGTTAAGTGTTAATAAGAATAATTAATAGATTTGCTAGGGTAAAAACAGTAGATGAATTAGTAGGCATAGGTATATTTGATAGATTTTGGTTTATCTTATTTCTACGAATATAAGGATCAAAAGCAATATCTAAAGGAGGAATAACAGGTACTTTATCGGATTGATACAATATTTTAATGAAAGTAGAAAGTTAAAAGCATTGAATATTATAGATAGACATAGTTGATTTTGCAAAAATTCAGAAGGTAATAGAAATTTAGTATTATACAGATAAGCTGTTGGATTAAGAGCTATAAAGATATTTTCAAGATTATATAAATTTTTTTTTGTTATAGTATATAAGACGCAACTGATGTAAGCATAAGATTGCGAGTACAAGCATTTAATCAATAATAGTACATAACATTAGTTTGTATTAATATAATTATAATAAAATAAGTATTAGAAATAGTGAGATTTTTTTTTATTACACGATTAAAGATAATTAATTATATTATTTAGGCAATATTGGTTTATTGTGAAAATACAAGATTTAAAATAAGATACTGCTATTTATACCACAATTTTTGTTATTTGCACTATTAGTTTGACCAGAATTAGTTAGAGTTAGGGTATAATTTAGTTAAATTAATAGTGCAAATAGCAAAAAGCATGATACAAATAGCAATTCTCTTTAAAATATATTTAACAATATCGTGAAAAAATATTTAATAAGAGTCAGCGATACAAAACAAATAAATCTAAATTACAAGTTAAATTTATTTCTGTATCTGATATAATCTGTACAATCAGAGCGATTTAAATAAAAATATAGCAAATAAGTGATATTTTTGTTTTATAATACAATATTAAAAAAATAGTAGCAGTTAAAGGATTTTATTTTTTATTTATTTATATTTTAAATTTTTTTTTCAAAGAAATCACAAAGGGTAATACATAGTAATAGAGAGTTTTATTTTTTTAAAGATAAAAGAGGTCTTAAATTTTTTCTTGTTTGCTTTATATTTTTGTCCAGAAAAAGAGAAGAATCAGTAAAAACAATTGTAATAGGATCATTATAATTAATAGGAGAAACATCAACTTCTTTTCTAGTATGTAGAGAAGGAGGAGAAATAGTGTTATTATCAGTATCAGATGAATCATTGTGTTTCGTATTTATAGGTATAAGATTTGTATTGTTAGGTTCAGAAAGATGGTCATTATGGCGAACTTGAGAAATAACATTAGTAAAGTTAATAGTGGCAGAAATATTATTTGATTTTCTAGCAGCTGTCGAATATAAAGAGAGTTTGGGGTTTTTTGTAAAGGTTGAGAAGACAGAATAATATATTTTTCTTCAATACTATCTAGTTGGTTAGGAGAAAGCTATTTAT